TCTGACTTTAAAGGCCACACATAACATACAAACAAAATGTTTTGCAAATACATTCCAAGATTCAAATACCGTCAGTTTCTCTCCTGTTCATACTACTAAGAAACTTATTCCAGACATTTCCCATTGTTATCATTCTTTTTAGTCCAGTAAGAGTTTTTTGTTTCAGTAAAAGGCTTACAGCACTTGCAACACAATAAGGGTTATATAAGTGCCGAAGAATAGATGTGTTACAAATGTGTTACATTATTGATGAAATGCAGATTTATATCCCTCCATTTTATTTTGTGGAAGTAATAAGGGTTTATTATTTGTTGTTACTGTTGTTATTTGAGGGTGCTATAGGCCTACCAATTGTATCCATTTCCTATCGAACATCTATCATCCTTATCCCTCCTCCTTCTTTTTTGCATATGTTTCTCACAGTACAAAATGTCAGTATAGAGAGTTGTCGTTATAGAGAGAGGCAACCATAAATTACTAATGATATATAGACCTAAGGAAAAAATCCAGACCTGGGCACCATGTCGCTATACAGAGGATGTCGTTCTATTGAAGGTCGTTATAGAGAACATGCACGGTATTTCTGAAAAAAAAAAAGAACTTGCAACATGCTACCACTAATGAGCTGACAAAAAGATATTTCTCAGAACAAGCATCAGAGATTTCACCATTGACGTTCAGCTCAAAGGAAACTATCCTTACAGCTGGACAGTCCCCACAGGTGGCCTCAAATGGTCGCTTTTAAGGACAAGCGGGCGTACCCAGATTTCGGGTGTTTCCAGAAATCTTGACCTGCACCAACAGGGGAAAAGAGGGCACTGCCTTATACCTATAGGAGAAGGTTGGTTTCATTGCTGTGCATATTTATTTGGATCTAGATCTAAAGAAAACTCTTCTTGTCTTTTAAAGAAAGTAAGCAAAGGGCAAAAGCTTTATCCTCTATTTTCTCAAAACAGCATGTTTCGGGACAGCCCCCTTGTGCTTGAATTAAAAGTGACAAAAATGATCACAGGTTCAACAGTTTTGTAAGTGTTACTGGCACAAACTTTGATTTCTGACATCACGAAAAACAAGATGCATGGACTTTATAGTAGTAGTAGAAAGTTTTACGGCGCTCGCAACTGCATAAGGTCATATGAGCGTCAAGGGGTGGGTGTCAACCGAGAAGTCTTTACAGGGAATCAGACTTAGACTGCTCACCTCGC